ACTGGCTTACATTATGTAAGAGAAAGATGAGCCCATTGTTAAAATATTACCAGAGGGCCTCCTGATTTATATGTGTTCTGCTCCAAATAGTTGTTTTCTAAAACCATGTCCTATCACTTGAAGTTAAGTATTGTGAATATTACTTGTGAAACATGTACAGCATCAAAATAGGTACTTTTAAGTGGAGCCATTTGCCAAAGACAATTTGTTCTTCACAAATACATGAAGAGGAAAATTTGTATAAATGAGCTATTTCTTTTTGTGGTTAAGATAAGCAATTCTTCTCTGACAGAAGGAAGGGAATTAGAGTACCTATTTCATATTAAACTAGATGGTTTTACAATTTTCATTTCACTTCCTAATTTGTACCTCCACCATACTATGCATTCATTCACATTTGCAATTGAGGTCTGAAAAAATAAGTGGTTCGTCCAAGATTAGACAACCAACAAATGAGAGGCAGGATATGCACTCATGTCTCTGATGCCTACATCTGTGCTCTTTATATCAGAAAAATGCCATTTTGGTTGGTAAATCTTTGGCAAGTGCTTTATTAAGCTCTATCTTAGTTTGTTTTCTGTCAATAAAAAAGAATCTGCAAGACTAGAGGTTAGGGTTCATGGTTCTGAAGTTTGAGAAGCCCAATTGCATAATTCTGATGTGTTCTCAGCTTCTTGGGAGGGCCTTGTGCTGCTTCAACTCATGGTGAAAAGCAGAGGTGCAAGCCATTGCAAGCAAAAGAGAAGCAAAGGGAGCCAAACTCTATGATAGCAAACTCAATGTCAGGAGAGAAGCACCAATCCATCTTCGAAGATCCTGCTTCACGACCTAAATACTTTCTACCAGGCCCTAGACCCCAACACTGTCACACTGGGGATCATGTATCAGCATGAGGTTTGGTGGGGAAAATCATATTCAAACCACAGCAAGCTCAAAGGAGATTAAACTAGGTTATGGAATCTTGCATTTAGAAAAGAAGTGACCTTAGTCACAAATTGGACTGATCTAGATGGAGAAGCTGAAGCAGAGCTAGAAGTCAACACTAGGGAGCTTCCAAGGGATGGGGTCAAGTCATTGAGGTCCAAGACTGAATGGGAGTGTCTGTTTACCCATGATGGCTGTGCCTCTGGGGGAGGCTGTGGTGGTATGAGAAAAGGCTTCATAGGTGACTAAGAAGAGGAATCATTTCCTTAACTTTGCATGAGAGTCTAGATTTTGAACCTGGATTTTTAAAAAATCCGTTTTCTGAAAGGAAAAGTTAGAAAATGGGCAAATAATGATGACTTTGTCCTGGCCAAAATGCAGTTCGCTGGAAAGTAACTCCTTTATGTTCAACAGTTTGATGTATCCCACTGTACTTGTTTCTTCTTGAATGGAAGTTCATTCCTACCCTCTCCTTTAGCCTTGAAAATCAGAAATCTTTGCCACTTTGGATTTGCCCTTCATAAAGCAGATGATTTGAAACATTTTGAATCAAATGAAAATTTGATAACTCAGAAACTGAATTCTTTCTTTGTAGTTGACATTTTTCCCTAAATAGTTGTTGGAATTTCATAAAGTTCTAGAAGGAAGTATCATATTATTTGTGCTTTCACTGTGGGAACAGAGGCGTGGTCTGGGGGGAGTAACCACCAGCTGGCTTGGCTGAGCAGGGATTTTAGAAAGCTCGGGTGAATTATGCACACCTGTTTTATGAGACAGACCACCTTGCATGTTGGAAACATGAAAAGCAGGATTTTACAAAAAAAAGTTGTAAATGGTAGTTTAGGAGATGAACAGAATCACTGGAGTCCTTCTTTTCTTCCCTGAAACTTAGAAAAGTCAGATAAGCAAGTTCAAAATGTATAGAAAGTGGGAAAATGAAATCTAATGGAAGATTTTACAATGAGAGTTCAAGAATATCTACAGAAATACACATCCAAAGGATGTCTGAAAATCAGGAAAGGCATTTTAAATCAGGAATTAATCTGAGTTTCGTGGTATTCTGTGAGAAGAAATCTATAAGGAGAGCACTTCTCATGCTACTAATAACACTAATTGATCCTGTGTCAACAGGTTTAAAAGGACGGAATGTTGTTTTAAAAGCAAATACAGGCTGTAGGAGAAGCTGGCTTTTGCACCACAGAGGCTGTGTGGACCATTTTAACATCCAGTTTGGGGGGTGGGGGAGGGAATCCCAAAGGGACTGGCAAACTGGAAATAACTGGGCACCACCACTCGGAAAATGGCAGGAAGCTCTCAGCTCAGATCAAACCACATTGTGCTGGGCAAGCACCTGTTCTTTTGATGATTGTTTTCACATTTAATATTCCTGTCACTTTTTTTTTTTCCTGCCGTGCTGTTCGATGAATACAAACACATCTCCCAATGCTTGGATTCAAATATGGATTGCCAATAAACCTGAGATTGGCTTCAGTTCTATTATAATATGAAAAGCTACTTCCAACATTACCCTCAAAGCCAAGGGCATTAGCCAGAGGCTTTGAAGATAGAGCAATTTTAGTATATAGAAAACTACTCACATAACACAGTGTCTAGAAAAAATAATTCCTTTAAAGTCAGGTCAGGTGAAACATGGGCAATTTAAAAATCTTGTTTTAATAATTGTTAAGGTCTTGTGTAATATTTAGAACAATTAGTTCATGAAGATCCGTAATCAAAATTGTAAGACTGATTCTGAGAAGGATATGGCCCTTTGACCCTGGGAAGAATGGCAGCAAAGTCTCTGAGACAAATGACAGTCTGTGGACTTTTCAATCTCTAGTGAAGTGGATCGTCTAGAACCCATTCTTGAGTTTAAAAGCCAGTCTTGTAAAGACAGCCAGATAACTGTATTTATTTTCAGGTAAAATAATTCAGTATGAATCTTCTAATGTAAATTTCATCATTGTTAAACATACTCAGCATATTACAAGAGCTAAGTTGGGTCTTTCAGGGGAAAAGCATAGAAATATAAAATTGCATTTAGGATACAAAACAGTAATGTAATGTTTGTAAAATATTTCAAGGTATAACTACTTCCCTGCAATGTTTCTCTGTGGGCCATAGCTTACGAAGTCATATCATTTCCATTTTGTAGCATTCATATTTTCAAATGATTTAAAAGGAATTTGCTAGCACTTTTTGTTGGTTGTATTTAATATTCATTTTCTGTTACTACACATGTTGCAAACCTATTCAGGAGATTCAGGAGATTGCTAGTATGTCAAAGCCACCTGCTGTTCATTCATCTCTCAAATCCCTTCCCAAATCCTGTCTCCTCTCCTCTTACTGTTGGAGTTGGGTCATGAGAAAGCTCCAGCAGTGACTCTTTGAGCCGCAGGTGGCCATCTGGTTAAATGTTGTATTGCCTATTTTATTTTTGGAACCTGACCTTAATCTTCTCATTCAAGGCTGTTAGTATCATTTTATGAAAGTGATTTTTTAATTTTTTTGGGTCACAGCTTCTGAGAATCTGATGAAAACGACGAACTCTCCATAAAAATGTACATTTATAGATACACATACCACGTCTGGCATACAAACTATTATTATTTTCTATACTGTGGGGTTATAAAGATTCTTTCATGTATTTCTTGTGTATATGAGGGGGATTCAAAAGTTGAGTGCAAATGGAATTAAAGGATAATAATTTTCCATGAATTATGACTGGTTTAATTCTGTAATTAATACACAGTTATTCTTAAGTGTTGAAATTTAACTGAAATGTGATCCCTGTTAAACATAAGAGTAGGAATAAGAGAGGGAAGAGATGTATAATTTGGGACATGCTCAAGCTGACTTGCCCCAAATGGTAGAGTTAGAAACATACCAGGGGACTCCAATTTAATCCCATGAAGGTGGCATGTACCAATGCCATCTCACTAGTCCAAGTGATCAATTTCAGTTCACAATTGATCATAATGAAAGGACTAAGAGTCAAAGGAAGCACATAAACAAGTCTAGTACCTGCTAATACTAATTGATAGAATAAATAAAGGGGAGAGTGATCCAACATGGGAAGCGAGATACTCAGCAGACTCATAGAATGGTGGATGTCCTAAACAGCACTCTGACCTCAGAATCAGCCCTAAAGGCATTCTGATCTGGCTGAAAAGCCCATGAGAGTATTTCAGGCATGGAAAGCCAAGACACTCGGGCAAAAAAAAAAACAAAAAAACCAAAAAAAAAAACACAAAAAACAACAACAACAACAACAACACAACAAAACCTAAATGAAAGATCTGTGAGTGAGATCCCAGTGGAAAGAACAGGTCTTCAAAGAAGGAGGTACCTTTCTCTGAAGGGAGGAGAGAACCTCCACTTTGACTATGACCTTGTCTAAACAAGATAAGAGTCGGTGAACTCAAAAGGCTTCCATAGCCTTGGAAACTCATGACTGGTGCATAGGGAGATTACTGATGCCATAAACAAGAGTATCAATTTGTTAAGTCAACAACAGGAGTCACTGTGCACTTACTCCTCATAAGGATCTCTGTCCTTAATGTGCTGTACATTGAGACTTAATGCTATAATGAGTACTCAAACAGTATATTTCACTTTGTATTCCTATGGGGGTGCAAACTGTTGAAATCTTTACTTAATGTATACTAAACTGATCTTCTGTAAAAAAAAAAAAAAAAAGAAGAAATTATCAATTCCCAACTTGACTCTCACTGGGATTAAACATGACAATAGGTCTGATCTGATTTCATCATCATTTAAAAAATCATCTATTATTTTTCACTTTATGTTTCTGTGTGGGAGCAAACTGTTGAAATCTTTACTTAATGTATGCTAAACTGATCTTCTGTATATAAAGAGAATCGAAAATGAATCTTGATGTGAATGGAAGGGGAGAGGGAGTGGGAAAGGGGAGAGATGCAGGTGGGAGAGATGATATGGGGGGGAAGCCATTGTAATCCATAAGCTGTACTTTGGAAATTTATATTCATTAAATAAAAGTTAAAAAAAAAACACAGTATTTGCTGAAATGACAGAGGCTGAGAAAAAGAAAAAAAAATAATTTTCCATGAACTTAAAAATTCTTTAAAATTCATTTATTTGAAAAGGAGAGAGACAGGACTCCCATTTACTGGCTCACTCCCCAAATGCCTATAACAGCTGAAGCTAGGCTACACTGAAGCCAGGAGCTTGGGATTCCATCCAGGGACCTAAGAATATGAACCATCATGTGCTGTCTCCTAGTTTCTGCATCAATGGGACCACAAAATTGAGAATGGAGCCAGGACTGGAGCACAGACACTCTGATATGGGATGCTGGTGTCCCAAGTGATGTCCTAGGTGGTACATCACACACCTGTCCCTTTAGAAACTTTGAAGCCCCTTTGTATAGCTAGCTCCTCACCCCCTAAAGCATGAACCCTTGGGGACATGGCATTTGCTTTTTGGAATGTACCATATGGGCCTCAGTAAATTAAAAAAAAATGACTGTAGTTTTGCTTTAATACAGAACACAATAACTAGAAAGTGTCTCATGAAAAAACAATTCTTCTCTCTGAACCTTTGTCTCTTATATGATTAAATAATATGTTACTTCCTCCATCCATTTGCAATGCTAATCAGTGTTTCAATGCCAGGAAATGATATTAGCCAACATTTTTTTTTGAGACCTTGCTGTGGTAGGTCCTATGCTAATTGCTGATCATGAATTCTTTAATTATATGAGGTAGGTGCTTATATGTTACAATGAGGAAACAGCCTTAGTTTCTTGTGTCAGCTATAACAAATTATCACAGTCTTGTGAACTGGAATTTTCTTCTCTCATAGTTCTGGAGGCCAGAAGTTGGAAATTAAGGTGTTGGTAGAGCTGTGATTCCTCCAGAGGCTCTAGGGAGGGGATTTTGTTTCTTGTCTCAGCAAACTTTTGATGGCTGTCAGTATTCCTTGGCTTGTGGCTATTCACTCTGATATCTGCCTTTATATTCAGATGAACTTCTCTTCTACTCTATTTGTCTCTTGTCTGAGTGTCTTTTACAAAGACTCTTATCATAAGAAGTAGGGCTCACTTAGATAATCCAAGATGAGCTCATCTTGATCTCTTTAATTTAATTCCATCTGAAAGTCTCTTCTTCCAAACAGAATCACATTCCCAGATTCTGGAAATTAGAAAATGGATCTAACTTTTTGAGAGGCAACATTCAATTTGCTAGACAATGTGTAGACAGCTTATAGCCGATGGTAGACATAAGATTCCAACTCTTGTGTTGGGAACTTAAGAGTTTGTGGAAGGCCGGCACTGTGGCATAGCGGGTAAAGCACTGCCTGCAGTGCTGGCATGCCATATGGGCGCTCGTTCAAGACCCGGCTGCTTCACTTCCGATCCAGCTCTCTGCTATAGCCTGGGAAAGCAGTAGAAGATGGCCCAAGTCCTTGGGCCCCTGTACCCACGTAGGAGACCTGGAAGAGGCTCCTGGCTCCTGGCTTCAGATCAGTGAAACTGCGGATAGAAGACTCTCTTTCTAGTATCTCTCTCTACCTCTGCCTCTCTGTAACTCTGCCTTTCAAATAAATAAATAAATAAATAAATAAATCTTAAAAAATAGGAGTCTGTGGGAACCCCACACTCATTAATGGTAGACTTTGGTGTCTTTTCTGACTCTCAGTCACAGGTACAGTTGTATCATTTGCTGACGAATTGCTGGATGGGAGGCCCATTCTAAAGGAACTCAAATAGACTTATGCTTAGATACAAAAAGCTGGGGCCAGAGACAGTGGAGCCAAATGTCATCCCAAGAGTTTCCCTCTTCGGCTCTACTTTGATGCAAGATGCCCCAGGTTGATAGTGTCTTGGAAACAGAGGAGGGAGAGATCCGAAGAGCTTGGGGAGCCTAATGCACTGCCATTTGGGATGTGCCTGGACAGTGGTCTCTGAGCTTGTGGAAAAATGTTTAAAATATTATATATGCTAGAAGAAATTAAGGAAGATATAGAATATAAAAAATTAAGGAAGAAATAAATAGAATAATAATGAAAGATAACATTGTTAAGATGGCAATTCTACCCAAAGTGATCTATGGGGTCAATGCAGTTTATATGAAAATATCAGTGATTTTTTTTTCTTCAGAAATAGAAAAATCCATCCTAAAATTCATATGGAATTTCAAGGGATTTAGAATGGACAAACAATCTTAAAAAAGAACAAAATTGGAGGGCTCACACTTCCTGACTTCAAAGCTTACTGCAGTGCTACTGTGTGATACTTTACTACAGATAAATAAACCAATGAGATAGACTAGTGAGCCAGCAATAAACACTCTCATATATGATCAAATTATTTTTGACAACGATGCCAGGACTATTCTGTGGGAGAAAAAAATATATCTTTTCAACAAATAACACTGAAAAAACTAGTTATCCACATATGAAACAGTGAAGTTGGAATATTATCTTACACTCTGTATAAAAATTAACTCAAAATGAGTAAAAAGCCTAAACATAAGATATGAAACTATAAACTCTTATTATAAACATACATAAAATGTTTCATTAAATTGGAATTATCAAAGTTTTCTTGGAAATGACACCGATAAAAAACAGACAACAAAAAATTTATAAATTAGATTTAACCCAAATTAAAAACTTTGGACATCAGCGGTCACTATCAGGGTCAAAACACAACCCACCAAATAGGTGAAAATACTTGAAAATTACATATATGATAAGGGGCTAACACCCATAATATTTAAAGAAATCCTAAAACCTAGAAACAACAAAAAAGAATCCTATTCAAAATGGGCAAAAGACTTGGAATAGACATTCTTCAGAGAAGATACAAATGGCCAAGAAGCACATGAAAAGATGTCTAACATCATTAACTATGGAGGATGCAAATTAAAAACACAGTGAGATAACACTTCATATCCACTAAGATGACTAAAACAAAAACAGAAAACAGGAATGGGCATTGTGGCTCAGTGAGTTAAGCCACAGTTTTCAACACTGGTGCCCATATTGGAGTGCCAGTTAAGTCCTGGCTACTTCACTTCTGACCCAGCTTCCTGCTAATGCATCCCAGGAGGCATCACATGATGGCGTAAGTGCTTAGGCCCCTGCCACTCTTGTGGGAGACCAGGATAGAGTTCCAGGATCCTGGCTGGAGCCTGGCCTAGCCCTGACTATTGCAAATATTTGGTGGGTGAACTAGTGGATTGAAGATATCTCTCCTTCTCTCCCTCTCTTTCACTCTCTCTCTCTCACTTTGCCTTTCAAGTAATCTGAAACTAATTAAGTAAATAAATGTAAAAAAAATAAGGAGAAAAGAATAAGTATTGGTTAGTATTTGAAGAAATTAGAAACTTTGTGAACTGTTGTTGAGAATGTAAAATGGTATAGCTACTGCAAGTAACAGTATGGTGGTTCCTCAAAATGTTATACATAGAATTACCACACAATGCAGCAATTTGATTTCTGGGCATATATATAAAGTATTGACTGCAGGGACTGAGGTATTCACCATAGCCAAAGCTTAGAGCAATTCAAATGATCACTGACAAATGAATTGATAAACAATGTGGTATATAAATATAATGGAATGTTATTAAATCTCAAAAAAAATGAAGTTCCGATACACACTAAATACAGCTGAAACGTGAAGATATTATGCTTAGTGAAACAAGTCATCTACAAAAGAAAACATATGATTCTTACATGAGGTACCTGAACAGTCAAATTAATATAAACAAAAGTAAAATAGAGGTTACCAGGGACTGGGGGAAAGGGAAATGGCAAGTTACTGCTTACTGGTGAAATGAACTGAATTGTGTTGCACCTTCCCCCCATGTTTATGTTAGAGCCTTAATGCTCATTAAAGCTAAAAGAGGCCATAAGGGTAAGGTCCTAACCTGACAGAATTGGTGACCTTATAATAAGTGAGGGGGAGATATTTTCTCTGCCTCTGTCTCTGTCTCTCTCTCTTACACACACATACACACAATCTTATGAGCACACAGTGAGAAGGTTACTACTTGTAAGCCAGGAAGAAAGTTCTCATTAGAACCTGATCATGTTGGTATTCTGATCTCACTTCCAGCCTCCAGAACTGTGAGAAAGTTAAGTTTTTGCTGTTTAAGCCACGCAAGTTATAGCATTTTGCTATGGCAGCCTGAGTGCACTAATAAAGATGGCTAGGGAATTTCAATTTGGGATGATGACAGCATTCTGTATATGGATAGTAGTGATGGATGCACAGCAGTGTGAATGTATCCACTGCCACTTAACTAGTATGCCACTGGCTAAAATAGCAAATTTTATGCTATATATTTGTTTTATACAATACAAAACTATCATGCAGTGTTTATTTAGTGGTGACTGAAACAGCTGATTTTGCTTTCTGTAAATCTATGATAGAAGAAGCCAAGGTATAGGGTCTGGGGGTGGGGCAGGCAAGGGCAGCTCATAGAAGCCAGGAAGTAATTCCCTGGTTTTGGGGTGAAAATTAGAGTAGGAAAATTGTATTCAATATGGCCTCTGAGTAAATACACTTTTCTAAGTGTATTCTGAATTGAGCATGTCTCACACTAGTGATGTGTCTTTTCCATATTTTCCATATTAGGAAAAAAGTGACAAGAAATACTATTATCTGTTATTCTGTGATAGTAAAAAACTGTGCTAGCAGAGAAACTGCCTGGAAACTCCCAGAAGGGTGAGATCACTCTGGGCTGCAACATAAAGTGGTAAGCATTTTTTGAAAAAATTTTCTTGTCTAACCTTGCTTTATCTGAGATTAATTTCCTTTCAATCTTCTTTAGAAGCCAAACAAGATTGCTTTCTCAATATACAGTTCAAATGGTTATAGCCTGTCACTCCCCTACTCGCGGAGGAATGGCACCGGACCCTGCGCTGTTCTTTTTCCCTGGCCCTTCCAGGGTTTGCTGCCAGCACCCCTGCCTCTGCGGAGGGGCGGCACCCCCGCCGCTTTCCCCGCTTCCATGGAGGAGCGGCACACCGCTGGCCAGCTCTCTCAGGGGTTGCTCAGATGTTCCTCAGATGTTCCTGGTGCATGCTGTCTCTCTCCTCCTTTATAGTCCTCTTCCACCAATCCCAACTCTGCTGGCATTCTCTCCCCACACGCTGAGCACGCTGCTCTCCTCCAATCAGGGGCAGGACCAACTCCTGCAGCTTGTTAGTCGAATTGGTGAGGCAGCTGTGTGGAAGATGTTTACTCTCTCTCAGCGCCATATGATGGGAGATCAGATGCATAGAATTAGTCTTAGCAGTTCCAGTAATTTAGTCTAGTCTCAGTTGCTCCCCACAATAGCCAAGCTTTCCAACTTCATCATTAGTGTTCTGTAACCCAGCAATGTAGTTCAAAGTGTTCCCAGGGACAGGGGAATGTCTGGATGAGATGGAAGATGTGAAGTTAGTCTGTCTTAAAATCTACAAAAAAGAGAAGGGGAGGCTGGGGGAGGCAGGGAGAAAGTGATGGAGGGAGGGGAAAAAGGAGGGGAGAGAGAGAAAGAGAGAGAGTAAGAGAGAGAGAGAGAGGAAGAGGAAGGACGAAGAGGGAGAGGGAAGAGTATTTGAAAAATGGGGGACTCTTGTATAGCTCTGCTCAATTTAACTGAAAAGTAGATTATGTATGAACTTGAACCCTTCACCACACTCAGGCTGTCAGGGTTGAATCTGACACTATTGGTAAAAGATTATTTTTCCATTTTAAGTTTCCTTTGTTTTTTCAAAGTTGCAACTTCTATCCACAAATTTTTTTTCTGGAAAACTGTGTCTCTTAGAGGAGGGAAAAGCAGTTTTCTTTGGGAGAGAATATATGCTGACTTTCAATTTGGCATCGGATGAAATTCAATCTAATTTCTCTTTGAGATATGGAGTGTTTTGAGTTTTCATTATCAATAACTATATCATACATGAGTTAATTTGGCTTTGAGATGGTTTGAGGCTATTAAAAAACCCAGTACTCCAGTTACTGTTTGTCACTAATTTGGATGTGCATATTACTAATAACACTACCATTATCATCATTAGTATCACCATCGCTGTATGTACTAGCCGGTGACTCCTTGTGGTTACTTGTTATGTGACAGACACTGAGGTAGGAGCTTTACATGAACTATTATAATCTTCAACACAGTCTGTGATATAGGGATTATAATTCTCATTTTACTGCTGAGGAAACTGGGAAAAATTAGCTAGACTGATTCTAATTTATCCAGTAAATATTATAGCTGGAATCTGAACAGAGGAATCTGAGAATTCAGTATAACTGGGGACAATAATCATTTCCTGTTTATCTTTGTAATGGACACCTCATTGTTTACTATGTCTTACATGTGACAGACTGAGCTCAATTTGTGTTTTTAGAATAAATAAATGAGGAAAGCTAATAGATATTTAGCATTTAGTTAATTACCTCAGATTTTAATTTGGAAGTTGCTGAACTGCTGCATTTTATTTGCTCATTTTAAGGCACTTTTATCAGTTAACTTGTTAATATAGTCAATGATTGTGTATTTTCTTTTTCTCAAGTGTGAACAGGCTGAAACTCCTGAACAATACATTCCCATTCTGTGTTGGTCTGCCTTGTTGTAGTGTGAAGACGTGGTCTCCTGAAGAGTCACTGTGCATTCACACTGAAGGTGACTTTAAGAACTATAGGGTTGGGGCTGGCGTGTGGCACAGCAGGTTAATGCCCCGGCCTGAAGTGTGGCATCCCATATGAGTGCTGGCTCAAGACCCGGCTGCTCCACTTCCAAACCAGCTCTCTGCTATGGCTTGGGACAGCAGCAGAAGATGGCCCAAGTCCTTGGGCCCCTGCACCCATGTGGGAGACCCAGAAGAAGCTCCTGGATCCTGGCTTTGGATCAGTGCAGCTCTGGCCGTTGTAGCCAATTGGGGAGTGAACCAGTGGATGGAAGACCTCTTTCTCTCTCTCTGCCTTTCCTCTCTTTGTGTAACTCTGACTTTCAAATAAATAAATAAATAAATATTTTTTAAAAAAGAAGAAACTGTGTGGATTTAAAAAAAACCTGTAGGATTTAGTCGATATCCTTCGAGTGAGGTATCTGTCCCTCAAAATGATGAAGGCAAATTGCCTTCATGAGAACTCACTAGGTTTTACACTACAAGAGAGCAAATACTGTCTGAAGTAATCATCATTCAACCTTTGTGATTAGTAGAGTTCCTGGTCCACTAATGTTTGCTGAGTGAAAAATATGAATAAAAACAACACTGGATAGGTCAGAGATAGTAGTTGTGTAAGGTCAACTGAAGGAGACAGGATGCACAGCAAAACTCCACGATAATCTACACAATGGCTTGGCTTAGAGAAGAAAAATGTGTTGATGAGGAGTTGTTCAGGAATGGAAGGGCAGATAAAGGTGATGAGAAGTAATTATTGGCATTGCCATTCAAATGCTGCACATAGTACCCAGCACCTGCAAATATTCCCAGCATCAATGGCAGAGGTCTCACTAGGATGGTTGTAGCCAACAGACTTCAAGTGCTGTTCATTTTGGAAAGCCAAACCTGCTGGCATCTCTGATCCCATTAGACTCTCTTCATCTTTTTTTCTGATTCCGTGTTTATCAAACAACTATTTGACTCCTACGTATCTGCTCACAAGGGAAGAATGATATGGATTTCATGTTTTTCTATTCTCACTGACAGTGATTTCTCATGCAACACCAATAAACAGATTTCCAATAGACATCTGATGCCTGCATCTCCTTGTATGGCACCAAATGCACTGATTGTATTCTTATGTGGAATTCTGAGTTTTGTGACAGTTACAGCTTTCATTGTCAGTTAATAATGGATTATTTTGGTACCGACTGTAGGAAAAATCAGTCTCTTGAAGTCTGATCATGATAAGGCCTAGAAAAGAGTAAGTTTCTAGGTCTTCAAAGAGGAAAAGTCAGTTCTATGCATCCAGCCTTTTCCTGAGGCTGCTGTCTCTCAAACCTTTCCATGTAGACTAGGCAGACAACTGAGAAAGTGAATATGTATCTGGGGAGTTAACAATCTCAAATTGAAGTAACTATTTTAAAAACTATTATACAGCAAGCATTTTATGCTATAATACATCCATTTTATATTGATGTTATTTTCATAGGATCTTATTTACCTACTAAACTTGAAGTAAAATTGGTATTCTCTGAAGGTGCACTGAGGTTTCCTGCGTACATGGCTGAGTAGCCCTGCAGACATAAGCTGATGTGAATTCGAAAAGCCCTGCTTGAGATACCAACTTACCTTTTGCAATTAGGTGATTTCTGTGCCTTGAGATTTTAAGTTCTTTGGCTACTTAACTTCCCCTAAGTAGGCTTATTTCTTATACCAGAAAATTAAGTTATTATTTTAAACTTCCTAATGATTAACTCAAATAACTACAAAACAATTTTGGTTGTGGTGATAGGGATCTCTACTGAACATGGTTCCATGAGATTCTATTTTCTCTCTCCCTCTTTTTTTTCTTTTTAATAATACCACTGTGACCTCAATTGCTCTTTGGTTAAGTAACTGAATAATTGGGCCATGTTCTTCAAACACGTTTGGAGGATTAAACTGAGTACAGAAAGCATTCTGAAAAACATGAATTACTTTATAAATTGTATTAATCATAGTACAAATCCAGGAGTTATTTTATATACTGGTGAGAAAGAAGAAAGCCCTCTCCAATGACCAGTGCTCTGGCCTTTTAAAGTGTGTGGGCACGTGTGTGTGTAAAAGAGAAAGAGAGAGAGAGAGAAAGAGAGAGAGTGAGAGAGCGAGCTTCTGGTGGACACTGGTGCCATCTGCCTCATGTTATTCCATACCAGTTTTAAGATAGTGCTAATAAAACTTTAAAACAGGTTATGAGTAAAATATTATATTACTGGGCATTATACCACTCAACCATGATAGAATATGATGATATCTTTCAATATATTATTGATTTTAGCCCCTAAGTACAAGCAACATTAAAGTGCTGGTGCCAGCTGGCATCATGGCACAGTGGGTTGGGCCACTGCCTTCAACTTCAGCATCCAATATGGACATCAGTTCCATTCCCAGCTGCTCTGCTCCTGATTTAGCTCTCTGTTAATGCCCCTGGTAAAGCAGTGGAGGATGGCCCAGGTGCTTGGGCCCTGCACCCAAAAGGGAGACCTGGAAGAATCTCTAGGCTCCTGGCTTTGGCCTGGCTCAGCCCAGCCCTTGAGGCTGTTTGGGGAGTGAACCAGTGGATGGGAGATCTCTGTCTCTCTCTGTAACACTGCCACTCACATAAATAAATAAATCTTTAAAAAATGCTAATGTGTAGCTACCAGCACTGTAGCATGCCACTAAAATCATGCCCATGCTTTCCCTCTCCCTGTGGTTGTGTTGCCATACTTTTTCAAAGGCAATGCATTTTTAAAAAGTTTTTTATTGTGAATATCTATGTGCCAAAACTAAAATTTGACAACCACTGATAGAGAAACTCCAGGTCCATCCCCACCATATGAAGATGAGTTTTGAAGGACCTGAGGAAAATCAAGCAACTGGCTTCTGTAAGATCTTCCGTGATTGGAGACTTAACATTCCCCCAGTTGACCAATCAAAACCATCACTTCTAAATGCCTCTCCTGGACCAATCATGAGAACTTCCCCTTTATAGCCTATAAACTCCCCTAGACAATCAGCGCTCAGGGTTCCTTCCTTCAGGGACCCCTCCTGGATGCTGTGAGCTTTCTCTGCTTCTTTTAGTAAACTACTTCTACTTTACACAGTCTTCCTTGTCCGTACTTCTCATTCTTTGTGGATGTGAGACAAAGAACCTAGTGGAAAAAAAGAATTGTATTCTAAAAGAGAAGTAACATTTAAAAAATTTGGAGGGGAGAAAAATCTGCATTTCTTGGGGATGAGACACAAACCCAAGCAACTAGAACCAGAGACTTCGGCAACATTTCTTGGGGGTTTTCTGGAATTGTCAGAAGGGTGAGTAAAGACAGACTGCCTCTGCTTCTTTTTTGGAGATCTTTATTTTCCATCATAGTCCACTCTTAAAAACACTAGGATTGTCAGCCAATTAAAAACTATTAGTGTGGCTGCCAGTCTTAGAGACTCAAAGGGCAGACACTCTTGGGCAGATTTGACTAATTCTCCTTTGTCTTGTGGCACTGGGAATGTTGGTCTTGTACTGCTTCAGTTTCCTTTCATGGAAATTTGTCCAATGCTTGACACTGGAGTAAGATCTTGGTGTAATTGAAGATTTCTGGCCAGGACATCTCAGTATTGCCTGAAGGCTCCTTGATTGGATCCTGACTTTGACCACCTGTTAAGAGTATGACTAAAATCTGTGCTCCTCATTGTTCTTCCTGTTCACTACTGTCCTCACTCAGTCTCAAGTATCAGGAACGGAGGTGGGAGATACCTCTGGCTACAGCTGATGGACAGATTTCCCCACCTAAGCTAGCAAATGAGGAACATTGATCCATTATTCTTTTCAACCTGATAGGTTGTTTCCTTTCTTCTCCGCAGTTTACATTTTATTGATGATTTTTTTATTAGCTCTTGACAGCAGGATTATCTGATCATCTAACTCTCTGTACTATGATTTATTTAACTGTCCTAAGTACTGGGATCATATGTTGATGTCATGTGCTAGTTCTTTTAATTAAGGTTTTCCTGTGCTGTTGTAACTGAGGAAAAAGGGAGGAAAGTCTCATGTGTTCGTTATCTTTATTGAATCCCAACTGCTTAGGAGAACTGAGTACTTAAGGAGTTAGCATTATCTTCCTCTTTTTAATAATTTGATTCCCTATTCTGATTAGATCTGGTGCACAGATTTGGTTAAGATGCTCAGGTTAAATGCATTATAAAAAGCATGAATGGTAAGGGTATAAAATGATACCAAACTTACGTTGTGCTGGTATAATGGTCTGATGCTTTATTCTGTGAGGTGAGACATTGTTCTAGAGTGGAACCTTGCCCCACAGCTTTATATCAGATAGTTTGTCTTGTATATTATGCTGATTGTGTGATGATAGGAGTTGGTGGGAATTCATGCTCTCTCTCTCATCCTTGGTATGTGATCAGGGCCTAGTTGGCACTGAGGCAGTGAGCTAGCTGCTCTTACCCCTGACTCCCATCTTTGCTTGCAACCCTCCCTGGCCTAGCATTTCTGTCACTAAGGGTTAAAACCCTGGGGAGGATACCAACTGGCTGTGTAGAGGTCAGGCAATATACTCATGTGGAGTCTATTCCCCTGGGCCAGGTGCCCACATCAGGGACAGGGAACCGACTGGCAGACATGAGATAGGTGCATGTGCACATCATTCTGGCTATAGAGAGTAAACAGCATTTTTTGTCCTGTCCAAGCCATCAGGATCAGTGAGCAGGCTGGATTCTTTAAAGGGGACTGACGAAGCCACATTCAAGATAAATAAATAGCCAGGCATTACCAGGTCACAATACAGATCAGACAGAAGAGATGGTCAAAGTTAGGCACAAGTAAGGGTGGCTACTACTGCCGACTTAACCCTCCTCAACTGAGGGCCAGGTCACACATGCACCTATGATCTACAAGATCAAGGGTCTCAGGGAAAAAAGGCAAGGAGTGGAGGTACAGGTAAGAGTATCTATTGCTATTCTCCAACCTCTCCTTTCTGTGGGCTCCAGGACATTATGTTCCCACAGCCAAGAAACCTGAGGAACACCTCAAGTAGGCAGACGCAGAAACTTCTAGGTTTGTTTTCTGTTCCCTTATTTTAGATGGGTAATAAGCCATCTTCACTATGTGCCACCTTGGAGTGTATTCTCAGGCACTAGGTTTCCTCTGACTCCCAAACCTTCAAGAAGAAAATGCCTGGTCTTTTTCTGCAACAAGGTATGGCCAGGATACAAGCTGAAGGATGGAAAGACTTGGTCCCTAGAGGGAAGTATTAATATAATATCATCCTCCAACTAGACCTCTCCTGTCACATAGCAGAGGAATGATAGGAGTTCCTTTATATCCAGGGATTTTTTTTCCCTGTGAGATAAGCTTGACATTTGTCAACTCTGTAAGGTAGACTTGGCACTTTTAGCAGTAGCTACCCTCAAGACCCTAGCAACCCCTCTCCCTCTGCCTGCCATGGAGCCTACCATATAGTCTATACCACTCCCTTCATCCACCACTCTTGTTCCCTTATGTCTCCTCCAACAGGGACTACTTGTTAGCAAGCAGGACACATGACTTCTGACTTCTGTTTTAACCATCCAGGATGTCCCTGGAGGATTTTGTAGTCTTATTGATGTCTAGGTCTCCTTTTCCCTGCTGGATCTGAGCCAGATAAAGGGAGACTTCGGAGGATTTTCAGATGACCCTGACCAATATATTGAATCCTTTTAAAGTCTGTTCCAGGTCTATGATCTTACCTGGAAAGATGTGACGTTACTCCTAAATCAGACCCTAACAGAGACTGACAAATAAGCTGCTCTCCAAGCTGCAGAAGCTTTTAGGAATGAACTTAATGACATTCACATCCTTGCCTGATCAGAGAGGACAGGAAAAATATATTTTCCAGGAAAACAGTTTGTTCCCCAGGAAGAGTCTCACCTTAAATGGACAGCAGATGACCCTATAGAGGAATGGAAATAAAAACATTTCATTGTTTGTGTCCTGGAGGGACAAGCTGTCCATGATAGATCAAGGTCCAGAAGAGAACCCTTCTGCCTTTCCAGAGAGATTGAGGGATGCATGAATCAACCAATACTTTCCTATCTCCTGATGTGATAGAAATACAGGTAATCTTAAAGGATGAGTTCATTATTCAATCAGCCTCAGATACTAGAAAAAAGTTTCAAAAATAGGCTATTGAAATTAAAGTACATTAGGAAACCTCCTGAAGGTCACCACTTTAGTCTTCTACAATTGGGACCAAGAGGAGGCCCAACAATGAGAGAAAGGACAGGAAAAAGTTTGCAACTTTGGTAGCAGCCTTACGGCTACACCAGCTTAGGGAGGGTCCCCAGGGGTCTTCAAAGTGCTATTACTATGATAAGATTGGACACTTTAAGAAGGAATATCCATATTCCCATCACCAGAGAAAACCCCCATGGCACTAACTTATTTGCAATGGGGACCACTGGAGGGTTGACTACCTCCAGAGACCAAAGACTCTGGGGTCAGAGCCCCTCTCTCAGATAGGCCAATAGGACAGAAGGGGTCTGAGGTTTCTCCTATAGGCTCCTATCACCCAGACCATCAGCACTCAGGAGCCCTGGGTGGTCCAAACTGTAGAAGGGGATGGAGACACTGGAGCCACCCTTTTTGTCCTTCTCTTAAATTCAGGTCTCCCCTGTTTCCTTAGTATGACAGTGGGAGGTGTCTTAGGCAAATCTTTATATATATATATATATATATATATTTAAGATTTATTTATTTATTTTAAAGTCAGAGTTACACAGAGAAAGAAGGAGAGGCAGAGAAAGAGAGAAGGAGGGAGGGAGAGGGAGAGAGAGAGAAAGAAAAGAGAGAGAGAGAAAGAGAGAGAGAGAGAGATTTTCCATCCACTGGTTCACTCCCCAATTGGCTGCAATGGTCAGAGTTGCAGATCTGAATCCAGGAGCCAGGAGTTTCTTCTGGGTCTCCCACTTGGGTGTAGGGACCCAAGGAACCTGGGCCCTCTTCTACTGCTTTCCCAGGCCATATCAGAGAGCTAGATCAGAAGTGGAGCAGCTGGGACTTGAACTGGCGCCCATATGGGATGCCAGCACTGTAGGGGGGCAGCTTTACTCACTACACCACAGCTTCGGTCCCAGGAAAAACCTTTAGTTAGATGTTTCCCCCAGGCCCTAGGCTGTAATTGGGATACCTCCTCCCTTTTTCCCCCACACCCCTTCCTGATCATACTACAGAGGCCCACACCCTTTCTTGATAGAGATCTCTTAGCCCAGATGGGAACCACTGTCCTCATAACTCCATGGCAACCCTTATGCTTTCCACTAGTTGAGACAGATATTAATCTAGAGGTTTGAGTAACCCAGGGAAAGACTGGCTGAGCAATTACTGCCCAACAATATGTATTCATCTTAGATCCCTCTGTTTTTCCTGATAAAAAGTATTTCTTAAAGTCAGAGATCCAACAAGGGTTAAAAGCCAACGTAAAGTCACAGAGGGCTTTTAAAGCCATGAAATTGTCCCAGTGGCATTCCAATCCAGGGAGTCTCAGGATTCTGTCAATCCTGGATCCCCAGATATGGGGAAATAGCCCATCATTTTATCAACTGATAAAAGATATCCAGATGGCAGGGAACCATGTTTTAACATGGGGCCAAGAGGCCCAACAGACCTTTATCCAAGTTAAATAGGCCTTACTTTACTTGAGGCCTCAGCTTTAAGCCTCACTAAAAGCAAAGTCTTCAATCTATATGTAACATGGAGAAAAGGGATGCCATTAGGGTTATTGATTCAGCTTAAGGGACCAGCTCAGCAGCCTAGAGGTTAACTTAGCCTTTAGCAAGGAACTTGACCTGGTGGCAGAAGCAAGGGCAAAGCTTGACTCAGAGCGGTGGTAGCTATTACCCTCCTAATCCTTGAAGCTACAAAACTGACCCTGGGGCAAGATCTAATAACATCCAGGCCCCATAATGTGACAAAGTTCCTAGCCTCAAAAGTAAGCCTCTGATGAACAATCACCTTTTAAAACACCAAGCATTACTGCAAGCTGCAATTCAGTTCAAGACTTGCACTGATCCTTCTATTTTTCTCCTAGGGGAGATGGAGAGCCCAGAACATGACTATGAAGAGGTTGTTCTACAGACTTATGCATAAACTTCTCAATCTGTCCCTGTTTTGCTGGATAACATTAAAGTAAACATCACACATATCATTTCATATCTGACACTTAACTAAGCTTTTCAAAATGAGGTTGCAAGGAGGAAGCAAAAACAATAATGGAGGGAGAACTTTTTTTTCATCTATATACAAATAACAGTAATTATAATAATTAATACTATCTAATATTAGGTCCATATTCACTTTCCCCCAATTGTCTAAAAATTTATCTTTTCAGTAAATTTATTCTATTCATGATTCAACTAGGTTTTCCTTTCCTTCTTTTTTTCTAGGGTAACAAAATATCCCAGACTACTTTCTACGTTTCCTTCCCCACAACTGGATTAATTGTTTACCCAATAATTCTTAGTTCTATTTACTGAGGAATTCTGTTTGGAGACCACAATTGAGAGGTATATATATATATTCTAAAATTGGATTAAAGTTATTTGTAGATTTGTTTTCCAGTAGACAAAGACAGAAAATTGGTAGTTTCAGTAAATAAAATTTTTTTTGGAATTGATATTGAAATTTCCATTCATGTTTAAGATTAGAGGGTATTTATTTCTATAATTAGTTTTTTTTAAAGATTTATTTATTTGAAAGTCAGAGTTACAGAGAGGCAGAGGCAGTGACAGAGAGGTCTTCCATACACTGGTACATTCTCCAGATGGCCACAACAGCCAGAACAGCACTGATCCAACAACAGGAGCCAAGAGCTTCCTCTGGGTCTCTCACATGCGTGCATGGGCCCAAGCACATGGGCCCTCTTCTACTGCTTTCCCAGGCCATATCAGAGAGCTGGATTGGAAGTGGAGCAGCTGGGACTCAAACCAGTGCCCACATGGGTTGCTGGCACTGCAGGCGGCAGTTTTATCTGCTACGCCACAGCACTGGTCCCTATAATTAGTTTTAAATTTGCTTTTTTGTATGTTTAAAATATTTGTGATATTAATATACTTTTAAATCTATGCATTTGCAAAATAGATAAATTCAAAAAAAGTTTCAGCATTAGATATGTATTAGATGTACAATATTGATTATATAGCTTAGGTTGTATAGAGCCTTTACAATTTTGGTCTACCTAATTCTATCTTGGGCCCAGGGAGTTGTATTAAGCTGTCCTGTTATTTATGTCTGATTTCATTTATGGCAGTTTCTGCCTAATAAAGTTTTTTTTTTTTTTTTTTTTTTTTTTGTTTTGACAGGCAGAGTGGACAGTGAGAAGAAAGAGAGACAGAGAGGAAGGTCTTCCTTTGCCGTTGGTTCACCCTCCAATGGCCGCCGCGGCCGGTGCGCTGCGGCCGGCGGACCGCGCTGATCAGATGGCAGGAGCCAGGAGCCAGGTGCTTTTCCTGGTCTCCCATGGGGTGCAGGGCCCAAGCACTTGGGCCATCCTCCACTGCACTCCCTGGCCACAGCGGAGAGCTGGCCTGGAAGAAGGGCAACCGGGACAGAATCTGGCGCCCCGACCGGGACTAGAACCCGGTGTGCCGGCGCCGCTAGGCGGAGGGTTAGCCTAGTGAGCCGCGGCGCCGGCCTAATAAAGTTATTTTTCAATGATTTGCAGTATTTGGTGTTTTTAGTCTCTAACATTTTACTTTGCTCTCTGTAAAAATAGATTTATCTATTTATTTGAAAGGCAGAATTACAAAGAGAGATGGGTAGGAAGAAGAGAAAGATCTTCCATCCACCTGTTCACTCCTAACAGCCAGGTGCCTGGAACTCCAGGCTCAGCACGTCTCCCATGTGGGTGGCAAGGCACAAGCACTTGGACATTGTTCTGCTGCTTTCCCAGGAACATTAGCAGAGAGCTGCATTGGAAGTAGAAAAGCCAAACTAGTGCCCATATGGATGCTGGCATTGCAGGTGGCGGCTTAACCTAATGCACCACAAAATCAGCTCCTACTCTGCTTTTCTTGCCTTGTATTTTACTTTGTTGCATATCAAGATCCCATAAGCTGCTTTCATATTACTTGAATTTTCATGGTATACTTATGCTTATTCTGTAATTTTCAATCTTTTCATTTTGGTTTTAGTATATCTCCTGTATAGAAGAGTTAGATTTGTTTTATGAACTAATCTGAAATCTTTCTTTCAGTACATTTATTATATTATATGTTTGATCTTAGCTTTGACAAACTGATTTATTATGCACTGTTTTCTAAAAAAATCTTTCATCATGCAGTAGCTTTTCTTTTTTCTGTGTAATCTCTGATATTTAATATGGTTTGTGTTTTTTTCCTGCTGGTTACTTTACATTAATATTCTATATAATATCTGAAGTTTCCTTTTTTTAGGTCATGCCTAACTATACTTTTCTCCAAGAAACCATTTTTCTTCCTTCTCCCCCAGTGTCTAAACAGACACGATAATCTTTTACTCCTAGTTAATGCTTACGGCACAATCAGCAGACTTACTCTGCTTTCCATTTACTTTCCCACTTGTTACTTGATTATTTGTACATTGTAAAATCATATACAATATGTACATTAGTCTATCTTTACAGTCACTTTTTTTCAGACCCTATCTATGCCAAGCTTCTTCAAAAAGCTCTTGGCTTTCTGATTCTCATTTAGTAACAATTCCCTAGAAAGGCTTTTAGTTAAAACAGTCCCTAAGTTCTTGAAGGTTTATCATTGTTTTTTGACAGTCTTCATACTGGAAGGCTGGTTTGGTTGGATGTGAAATCTTGGGCTCCTATTTTCTTTTCTTGAATACTTGTGCAATGCTGCTGTATATTGGCTCCTGGGGCACAATGTTCATCAGATTTATTCTTTATGCTTGGGTGCACAGTTTTTTTCCTCCTTTAAAAATAGCTGAATTTCCAAGAATGGTCCTTTTAATATGTAAATCCAAGCCTTTTATTTTGAGTAGGTTTCCTCCAATCACAGTTTTATGTATTTGTTGCCTTTCATTTTTGAGGATCTTTCTTGGAAAATTTGTTTAATCTGCTTTGTCTGTTGTTCCAAATATCTTGGTGAATTATTTTTTCCTAATTTTTAAGTTTCTGTTCCATTATTTTTACTCTTTTTCTTCTTCGCCTCAGTTCCACTTCTTGCGCTTCCCATTGTCTCCCTTTGTTCTTTTGTTCTAATTCAGGCTTCATTGTGAAGTATATTTTCTTTCCTTTTTAGTTCATTCCCAAGTTTTCTCTGTTCTATTTTTTTTAAACAAAGTTATGTTTAATTTAACTCTAAAGATTTCATTTCTGGATTATTTTCATTCTGATTTGTATGGTTCATTCATGCTGTGGTTATTTCTAAGACTCTTTTAACTTATTCTGAAATCTTAAGTTGCAGTTTTTATCTTATTTGTGGCCACATTTGTAATATAATTTTAGTAGCTATTGGATTTATATTTGGGTCATTTTAAAAATCATTAACCTTACTGTATCTTTTATGGGGTTTCACTTTAAACTGCTTCTATTGTATTATTAGAGGAAGGTTCCTGTTTGAGGCTCTCTTTTCTGTTGTTACTGTGAATTATTTTAAAAATGACATTTGTATATGAACACTTTTCTTTCTGGGCTCCGGCTGATTCACAAGACCTTCCTGTCTCTAGTTTTGTGTTGTCTGGTGTTTTAAGATTCTTTCCTTCAAAGCAATATTGCTGCCTTTAAATGTGTCTGCTGTTCTAAGCTCTCTAACCCAGACAATTCCTTCTGTGGTACTGGAAACTTCTGTCTCTCTGGAATCCCCAGTGTTTCATTTTGAATCCAACTCACAGATTTTTTCTTTTTTGTTGGAGGTGGGAAATTGGAAGGGACAAGGGAGTACTGCATGTTTTGAGACACATGTAGGCCAAAGCTATTCAGGGTGTTTTACAATTCCATTGCTCCTTACTGGTCTCTTTGTACTGATCCTCAGACAGGAAACTGTGAGCAGGTCTTTGAATCTCACTGATAACATTCAGATTTGATTACTTTTAATTCCTGTTCTATAAAAGATCTTTTCCTTTTGAAGATGAATATATGTTGATTTCTGGGTCCTCTCCTTGTAGAAGTGTGATCAGTAATATGTTTTTTCTTTCTACTAATCCCTTTTCTCTTCTGTTCCCACAGAGTATCTGCTACAGCCTGGTGTTCAGGTCACACTAACCCCTATTCTAGAGTACATGGGGGATTCCTTGTCATCTGTTTTATCTGTTTTGTGTAAGATGATATTCACATTGTTCTTTTTTCTTTTCTATCCTAAATGCATCTTTTAAAATGATTGAACAAAATCACACTGCTGCTGATATTTTTAGCATCATAAATTACAGTATACATTAAAATAAGAATATTATAGAAAACATAGATTTTTATTTATGGAATAATTTCTCAAAGTTTTTCATGATTTTTTAGATACTAGGGCAGTACCTGAATATTGGACCCTAGAGCAAAAATTTTGCTACAAACTTCTATGCAATTCTGATTTTTAAAAATGTAGACAAAGAATTTGAATGTATATGATTGGTTCTGGGTGACTTTGTCTAGAAAAGATCGGGAATAACTGACTTGTTCTTTCTGTTCTACTGATTAGTCCATAAATTAGGCTCCTCATAAGATTATTGGTTACTCTTTAGATTGGTCCTAAATAATAGGCCACTTTTTCCATAAATAGACTAACTAACAGGCATTATGTCAACTGGACAAGAGAGGCTCAACAGAAAGACATACACATGTCACTGTAAAATGGGAAAGTTCTAAGGCAAGAGCTGGCTTAGCTAAATACTGCTGGGTTATTGATTTAGACAAAAACAGAATTTTGGAAATAGAAGCCAATAGAAATTTACTTCTATATATTTTAAAGTCAATAGGAAGAAATGAAATGAAATGGATCAAGAAATATAAAGAGATGATTGTGAGGAAATGAAACATGGAGAAAGAATGAACTACAGATCTGAACGGGAGCAAAGGAATGCTTGTCTTCCCACCTCCCAGATTTAGACAGAGAGCTATGTTTCGATTTGCTTACAAAATCTGACAGACTGATGAACTCTAGGAATGACTTACTTCTTAGCAGTGTAGTCAGTATACTTCTCAGGGTTTGGAGCAGTGTCAACCAAGGACACTTGGCTCAACTTTACGAGGATTCCCATAAGCATATTGGGTCTTCTTTTAACTATTACTATTTACAAGTAATTGAAAGCAAATCCTAAGCCCATTAATGCATATTGGTACCAGTCTACATAACGTGAAATTGACAGTTTTTAGAAATTTTTTCCAAAACCCCAAGAACCTTTCCTTTTTTACTGTACTTATTCTAATCCTTCTTCTGCCAGTTGCGGGTCACTGGAATTTTAAAGCAAGTTGATGGCATTTGTCCCTGGAGAGACCTGCTTTAGCAATCACAGAAGGCAACAGGTCACATGGTTAAATAATAGGTAGGATGTAGGAGGTGTTTCTATGTCCTTGGAAAGTTTTGTTGGA